GACAGACATGTCAGTCTGTGAAATCATTCACAAACATTCAATCTGTCACACAGGCTTGGTTTTTTTTTTAATTGCAGGGTTCTCTATAAATCCAGGCCAACATGCAATACTTCTGGTAATGTTAGTAATGGAGAACTAGCTTGGTGGCTAGGGTACTAACCTAAGAACGAGGGAAACACAAACTTCAGCTCCATATAAATACCTAGAATATCTAGATAGGTTGCTTAGCAATTCAGGGCTGCTCACATCAGTTCCTCTCTGTTCCCTTCCCCTTACTTACAAATATAATTTTAAAAAATCTACAACAAACAAAAAACATTTGGCTGGAAAATAAAGCCAGTCAAGTTTTAAGACCTGCAGCTGTCTTGGCAGTGTCTAACTATCAGACTTTTTCTGATTCTCCTTGGCACAAGTGTGCAATAAAGGCATTGATATTGATGCAATGATGTCAGAAATGCCTCAGTTCCGTGAAGCAATGTAGGTATGTACTGTATGTATGTATGCTTCCTAAACAGGAAAACTCAATCTGTCAAGAAAATTCAATAACAACCTTAACATTTAATTGCACCCTAGGGCCCAATAAAAATCAACAAGAATGGTAGTTGCTGATTTTTCATTAACCCTCTTTAAACCTTCCCCTTCCCCCCCCCCCAACTCCCCAAGTTAGACTGGCTGGCTGTATGTATATGTGCAATACGTACAGAGATCTATAGGGGAAAATGTGTTTAAAACTTCAAATTGGATCCACACAGGAAAATGCACTTAAAAAACTGGCATGGAGCTTTGCCATTGTTAGGTAAAAGAAAACATCCTGTTTTGATTTATGCACGCAGCACTCAATTTAACAAGTGTAGCTACAGGCAATTGGAAAACAGTCAAAATGGTGAATTCGCTGTTTACTCTCATTTATACTGTTTCCTAAATACAATTTGCTGCTGCTTTTTGGCACATTTGGTATTATTTTAAGCCACAAGGATTATGCCCAGTTCTCATAACCACACAATGACTTTCTTGGTGTAAGTGCAGCTGGGCATATGCCAGGCAACACAGCATCCAAGTTTCTTTTTTCAGGGGCAGTTTTCTTTATGGCAACTGCCACAGGGTTTTTAAAGCTTCAGTGGGTTCTTTCACTAATGTGTTGCTAGATCTTTATGGAGCTGCACTTAGTGAGCATATTAAACCTGAGCTCTGCCTGTGATGGAGTCTAATCAATAAACCAAGTGCCAGCTGGAGTTATCCTCCATGTCAAGCCACTGTCTGCATTTCAGTGTCCAGGCAATTGGAGCATTTATTTTGTTATGATGGGGATTAATTATTTATATTACAGGAACACCTGGAACTTCCTGTGTGCTTGGCGCTGTACAAGACGGCTCTTGCTTTGAAGGAAGCAAAAGATACATAGGGTAGGAGAAATGAAAGAAATGGAATGAGAGGAACAATGGAAATTAAATTACCACTTGCTGAACATCAGCTGTGGCTTACTTTAGGTTAAGGCAAGGACATGAGATACACAAATAACCTTTGCAGGAGGAACCCTGCCTGATTCTAGCAGTAAACTGCTCAGCCAGCAACTGATATTTAAAACAGCAATCCCTTTGGATATCTCTGCTCCAAAAACTGTCCACTGGTGCTAGCACAGCTCTGTTCATTTAAGCAGAAAAAAATGTTTCGATGGACAACCAGATGGATCAAAATTTAGGGCATGGCCTATTTTTCATTGAATCTAGAGGGACTATCCTCACAGATTTCTATGACAGCTGTATCAGACTGTTGTTGTAAGGTCTCTGTATGATGGCAGGTCTTTGAGGTGCTACTGGGGCATGCAGGGACACGGGGGGAGTAGCCACTTTTGAGCATCTGCTACAGTTAATTCACCACTTTCACTATTAACCACATACAAAGTTACTAAGAAACCCATGTGGACACCTCTGGTTTAGCTCCTGGTCGCAAATGGCACTGCTAGGTATTTCAGACAGAAAGCTGGGCATCCAATAAATTATTCCATCGTTCTTGGAATGATTTTACTGTCTCTTTGCATAGTTCACTTCCTTTTTACTACAACAATTGGAGACGAGGGTGCGCCAGTCATTTCTTTCAGAAAGAATTTGTGCCCAAGGTACATTTCTCTAACAAGCAGAGTTGATCATTTTTCGCTCTGCCTGGAGCACCACAGTGCTTCAGCAGAAAGCAAATTTAGGCTTTCCATCTCATATTTCTAGTTCAGGTGAACAAACTTCTTCAGTCTTATTTTGCATGGAAGACTGGCAAACTTTCATACTTTTGAGAAGTATGCATCAGTTTAAACCACTCTCTGTAATTTTGCTTTGATTGATGACAATGCTGCATTTTGGGTGTAAACACAGTGTCGGAGCCCAAAGATTTGCAGTACTGCCATCCTAAAGAAAGAAACCCAGGAATTCTGAGCCAAAGTTGAAGCTGCATTAGCTAGAAGAAATGTATCACTGTGTTTCAAGTTCACAGCAAAGTGGAGTTAGCAGCTATGTCCTTAAGAGTCTTCTGATTCTAAAAGCATTAAAAAAATCCTCCCTATAAAGCCACTTTAACCTCTTAAACTGAATGTACCTGAGGGTCAGAATTTCTAATAGTTTTGGAGCCTCTATTAGCAGCCCTAAAATGGTCAGGAGCTAGGTAGTTTCAGGGTGGCCACTGCAACTCCTGCGGATGAGGGGAAAGAGCACCCATAAAAATGACCTCATTTTGTCATGTTCAAGGCTGCTAACAGCAGCTTCCTCCTCACTTGTTCTAGGACAATTAAATGATGTATAGTTAGTTACAAAGTGGATAGTTACAGTTCGAGTTAGGATAGTTAATCAGAATATAATTAAGTTACAAGTAGGCAGTAGGCCTGAAAAATGCTACGCACTTAAAGCAGTTTAGCCACAGTTTGTAGATAACCAATATTTTTGTTTCCATGTAAGCAGCAGGCAAGAAATTAGAACTAGCCTTGTGTTATGCCGTTAAGCAAATCATGCACTTTTCCAACATGTCTCTACATGGAGCTTGCACAGTAGTCTTCAAAATGCAATTTCCATGAAACACGAGGTGGGAGAAAAGGATCAGCCCCTCCCCTGCCTCCAACCATCTCTGCAGGATGGGCAAATGCAAGAGCTATGGATATGTAGAGCTACGAATGGCCCTACTGTTGTGAAAGATGCTCATATGGATGGATTCCTTGGCTCCGCCTCTCCTCTAAGGAAAGTCCTTATTAATATATTCCGGGATTACCTTGATTTTTGATGCATCGTTTCTGTTGGTTGTGTGCAAATCTGAGTAGACAAAATCCTAGGTGGTTAAGCAAGGAGTCCTCTGTCTCATGCATCATCCACTGCAAAAAAATGTCTGCTAAGTTTTAACAGTAGTCTGAGGATGATGTAGCAGTAACTAGAAAATGGCTTCTCAGACCCTAGTCTTTTTTGTTTGTCCCGGGAGGTAGCAGGGGCAGAGGGAAATCTTTACAATGAGATGGGCCCAGGATCACCAAATAAAGAAGGCACTTCAGCCTGTGCTTTTGTACCTTTAGAGGATGACTGCACTTCAGCACGGCATACATTTGTCTGCCATCTATCAGGGACTAATATTTGAAGATGGCACAAGGAGATCGCAGCACCTGCATGCCTAAGCGGAATGTCTGTGTGGAGCCCTCAATACGGGACTGAGATATAGGCTGAGCACATGCAGCAGCCTTTTTTTTTCAGGCTGCTATTGCCACATTTCTCTTTCTGGCCTACCCACCGTGACCCTAGACACGGCAGGAACAGTGCCCATGTTGGCTCACATTCTTCTTCCGATGTACCACCACGTGGGCACCTGGACACGTGCTCGCCCATAGCCTGCTCGGCGCGCATGTACCGATCACAGGGTTCCCGACTCTGAATCTGTTCCGGGAGGCTTCATCACATGATGGAACGACGTTAATGACCGATCTATTGTACTGCACTCAGGAAAGCAAATGCACATTGCTATGACATTTTAAAGACTACTGTATAAATTGGATTCAACGTTTCATATTTATTTTAATGAATGCCCTATCATTTATCTCCCGTGTGACTCTCCTGGAGGTTATATCTAATTCCGGGAGACTCCAGGGCAATCCCGGAGGGTTGGCAACCTTAACCGATGGTCCCTGCTTGGTGCGTGGGAGCTATCTGGAGCCACCCCCAGGCTGCCCACAGCGCACCAGGACCCATAGAGGCACGTGGCTCTGCTCAGCGTGGCGGCCTGGGCCCTGCGGCCCCAGACTCTGAGGCTGGCAGGGACCACACATCGTGCAACCACCTGCCCGAGGAAGACCAGCTCAGGCAAGTCAGCTCCAGCCTTTCCCCAGGAGCTGCCAGGAGGGCAATGCCCCGCAGCCCTGGGCATCGTGCAGGGTGGGCAACGTGCCACCTTGGTCTGAAGCTGGGCAGGGAGGGTTGCCAGCCCTCCAGTCCACCTGGATCGGCATCCATCTCGGTGACGACTGAAAGCAACGCGGGGGATTTTAATCAGCTATTTTAAGAAAAATCAATGAATAGGATGAATGCACAAAATTCATATATGGACGGGTGTAAAACATAACGGTGTCATCTGATCGCATGTCTTTCCCTTGGCAGCCTAATGACATCGTACCTCATGTACACTGCAATGAGTGATGTCATGTCACAGGGGAGCAAAAACATCTGGAATAGCTTCAGATTTGGCAACTCTATGGGCAAGGGAGAGATGCCCCCATGTGCTAACTCAGCACCAGGCGAGGGCTGCACCCCAGGGCGGGTTGTGACACACCTGGACCTGGCGCGTGAGGACGGAAAGGCGGGAAAACCCCAGAAACAGGTGGCAGCGCGGCGAGGAAGGGGTTAAGGGGCCGGGCGGAACCCCGGGGCGCGGCTTGCAGTCACGTGACCCCTGCCTAGGCTGGGCACTGGGGGAGCGGTTCTCTCGCGAGAACTTGGCGCTGACGCCACCTTCGTGCGCTGGGCGTGCGCGCTGCTTAGCTGTGTCACGTCGCGCCGCTGAGGGGGCGGAAGCGGCTGCCGGGTCGGGCAGGAGCTGAAACAGAGCGAGCGCCCCCCTTCCCCCTCGCCATGGAGTATCTCATCGGCATCCAGGGCCAAGACTACGTGCTCGTCGCTTCCGACACTGTGGCGGCCTCCAGCATCGTGCAGATGAAGCACGGTGAGCGCCGGGCCCGGGCGGGGGATGGGGACCTCCCCCCCCCCTGCGGCCCCCCGCCCCGGTGGATGGGGGGCCTCCCTGCGGCCCCCCGTGGCCCCCTAGTGGGTGGAGTTCCCTTTCTCCTTCCTTACTTTTAACTGCAGAGAAGCAGTGGAGCAACTCTTGTGCTGCAGAGACGTCAGGCAGTGGGCACACGACCTGGGGTTCACAGCCCCGTGGGTTCCCTCTGCCAATCTCTGCCTCTCTCACTGTCTGTCTTGGTTGCTCACCTAGAACACTCGTCTTGCGTGGCCCCGTTGCAAGGATCTCAAGGCACCTATGGAGAATCGCTGGCTTAGCAGCTCCCATTGGGCCTTCTCTGTCATCAGTAGGGCTAGAGGGAACCTTGCTCAAGGGCATCCAAGCCCAGCCCCTGCTCAAAGCAGCAGTGTCTCTGACTGAACCATCCCAGCCGAGGGTCTCTCTTACCTGCATTTGAAAGTTCCTGAGCATGGGGAATCCACAACTTCTCAAGGAAGCCCTTTCCAGTGTCTGACCTGACCTCCCTCATACTTGGAAACATCCTCCTCATCTCCATCCTAAACTTCCACTGCTGCAGCTTGAGTCTTTTGCATCTCAACTTGTTACATTTATAACCACAGAGAAAAGCCCCCCTCCCATCTTCTCTCTAATTATTACCCTTAAGATATTTGAAGACAGTTATCAAATCCCCTCTTGGCCTTCTCGTTCCCAGGCTAAATAACCCTAGTTCTTTCAGCCTTTCCTTTGTCTTCCAGGCCCCTGATTATTTTTGTGGCCCTGGATTCTTTCTAAACTGTCCATGTGCTGCTTGAATTTGGGGCCCAAAACGCTGTATGTTGTATAGGCTAAATGGAGGATCAGAGGCAGTTGGAGCAGGCCAGCAGGATAAGGAACCAGGGATTGTTTGACTAGACCAGCAGTAAGGACAGCACAGAACAGCACACTCTGGACCTCTTTTTGGATGTTGTTCTGTTTGTTATAAGCACTGGAGGACAGTGCAATGACTTCCAAAAAGCTCCTCCCACCCAATGAAAGACAGTGTCAGGGAGAGCTTGAGGGATGTTAATTGAAACAAATGCATGCATGTCTTGGAGCTTTTAGCTGTTGGGAACCCAGTTTGCACCATCATTTCTTAGTTTCTTCAAGTAGAAAAAATAGCTGTAACTGCTCACCTGAAATACCGTAGTGAGAATAAAAAGCAGTTATTATGTATGTTCTTTAGGGTGAGTGTATGCAAGTTCAAAGCTGAAACAGTACTGGAGAGCTGTTTGCTGATATACTATATTTATGTAGTGCTTACCAGGTCGTTGATTGTAAAGTGTAGTTTTATTTAAATGAGGGGGAAAAACCCTTTTCCAACAGATTTACACAAGCCAGTATAACTTTTTTTTGTTCAAAATGATACAGTGTGCTGAGCCTTCTGGACAATAAAGATCACAGGGATGTGTATGTCTTCCATCCATATAATTGTTGGAGAAGAGTGTGGGTAGTGCTTGTTTCCAAGTCTGATTTGTTTGTTGGAGCCATTATTCCATGCAAATAGACTGCACTTAATTTCTTATATCCTCTCAAGTTATTTCTTCAGCAGTTTCATATAAATAAATGATAGCTAAGGTTTTAACTTTTTATTTGTTACTTTAATTAACCTACTTTTTATAGTTTTTAACTAGTAGAAGGCCTGGATTTGGAAACAAGAGCCTTATCTGGATACAGTACTATCAGTCTGAATAATGGTTCAGGTGAACCCATGTTTTTTAGGTTCCCTGGTCTAGACTTTTGGGGGGAAGGGTTTGATCTTTCATATATTTCTGTCTGACTTACAGACAGTCAGTTGGAGTGTTTACAGGGGCAGAGTTCTTCAATCTAATATAGCTATGTCAAATGAATGCGGTCAACTAACGATGTACCACATATACTTATTTCTCTTAGGCTGTGCTTTAATTAGAGCAGTACTTTTAGGTCTAGGTGTTCTAAATATTATTTCGGACCCTTCAAAAATCATTTATGCCTTTTTTAAAAAGGTTTTTAATTTACAGTTGGGTTTTTGAGCCTTTACAGCTTACTCAGTTAACACTTCAAGCTCTTTTTCTCCTGCAACCCAGTTTACTAGGAACTTTCTTTTAAAAAAGGGAGGGGGGGAGGCTACGCACCTGCAGTTTCATAAGCTTGGCAGCTGAGGCTTTAAGAAATATAGCAAGCATGCACCAAATATTAGGAAACATTTCGTAGAATTGCAGACTGGCAACACTGACAGCTCCTTCTGAACATGTGTTGTGATAGCCTTTTTATAGGGAGTATACAGTATTGAGTGTTCGGTAATGTTTTCTTCAAATTGCAAGAAAATCAATCTGTACAACAGTTCCTAAATTCTCACGCAAGCAACTTTTAAAGTATTTAACAACTGCATAATACTCTCCAAATCCTATTAAAGGATTGCAATATTTCAGAAGCTTTCTAACATGTCTTCCAGGGGAGATTATTCAGCACTATATAGTAAATTGAAAGTGAAAGTGAGATTCAGATATGGAGATTTAGACTTGTTCTGCAGGCCTAACCTGAAAATGGCGAAACTGTTTTCCCTAGGCATCAGAAGCTGCTCGAGGTTTTTATTTATCTATCTTATCTAGGTAAAGCAGACTGGTTGTCTGATAAGATTACAGTATTAGGGTAGTTAAAAATTGTGTTTTTCTGTAGTTTCATACTGGAATCTTTCTTTTTTTTTTTCCTCTCAGAAAACCAGTTTTGAGACTCGTTTTCAAAGGAGAAAAAAATCAAGCTCATTCTTTTAATGATCTTTGGCTTTTTACCAGGCTGTTTTTTTTGCAATCAATATCTAGGATTGTTTCTCTTACCAATATTTAGAGGTTTTTTGTAACATTGGTTGCCTTTTTTTTAAACACTCTGATTTGTAATAAAGTCAAATATCTCTTTTCAGAAACAGCTGTTTGTTTAGTACTGCACTTCTAAGGACTTGTTGCTTAGCAAATTCACACATCTCAACTTTATGCAGACCCAGACTTCTCCGAAGGCATTCTGTGTTTACATAGAGCAAAATGTAGTAGTTTATTCATCAGAATCCTGGAATATCCTATTTTTGGGGAAAGGAATAGAATGAGGGATTGTTAAATTTAAATTCTGAATAAACTGTTCAGATGACTGTCTTTTCCCCCCCCCCCCCAATCTCTATGACGTTTTAACCATCATTGATGCCAGAGTAATATCTTCTATTTCTGTCATATCTCCCAAGCATTTCACAAAGTTAGATTTTGATTCTTTGGCTGAATTCATTTATCTGATTTTTGTGTGTTCAGCTCTACTGATTATCTCAGGACAATGCAGGTGCCTTGTCTGTCTACATGAGTCCAGTTGTAGGTTTGAGATTTACTCTGGGTCACAAACTATGTAGGAGCACTATTAATCACTGAAATGCACTCAGTTCTGTGAAGCATGATGGCTCTTAAGCAGTGCAGACTGGACTGGGAAGTTGAGAGGCTAAATATGGAATGTGTTCAGGGCACTTTGATTAGTATCCTGGTACGCAGTTGACTGTTTGGAATCTCTTAACTTGTCACTTAAATTGTGAAACTACTCTGTTATTGGTGAAACAGTGTGCTCTTGCTGATGAGTGGTGTTTCTCCTATTCTTTTTTTATTTTTACAGACCATGAGAAGATGTTTAAGATGAGTGAGAAGATCTTGCTCCTTTGTGTTGGGGAGGCTGGAGATACTGTCCAGTTTGCAGAGTACATCCAAAAAAATGTTCAGCTCTACAAAATGAGAAACGGTGAGTACAGAACCTAAAGTTAAAATGGCTGTTTCCCAGGAATATTTTAACATGTAATAAAAAAAAAAAATGCATTTTTTTTTTTTAATAATACAAATGTGGGTAAATATTCTGGCAGGTTGTTGAAGGCTCAGTATCTGGTACCAAGCATTTTAGACTACAATTTAACTACTTAGATAGTCTGTTAAAAGCACCAAAATGCATTTCTTCATGTTACAGTGGCCCCTGAACCTTTTTGTTAATTTTTGTCATGTTATAATTACATTCTTCTCCTCTTAACTTTTCTTACAAGAGTTCTTGTTATTTGTTGTATCTTAGTTTCTTCTGTTTGAATTAGTATTTCCATACATGTTCCAAAAGGGCAATAAAAACAAAAGCAAATGGAACTAATGGTTTACTTGCTGAAATGCGACCTAAAATTATAGTGTTTCAAAATATTCTATCACATTAACAATAGTAGGCAGGGTTTACAGTCAGCATTTATCTGAAGTAGATGTTAGATTTCATGTGTGAAGTCTGTGTAGTGTTTAGGATTAGTTCAGGTAAATATGTTAGTGAGGGCATGGTAAGTAGGTAGGGGCATGAATGGTTGTCATTGAATACATCCATATGTATGTATTCGAAGGGATTCCCTATATAATACATGTGAATGGCTCAGTTCTTGTTTCAGTAACTTGTATTTCTTAAATCAATACCATATTTTGATTCTCCTGTCAGCAGCATGCCCATGGTATAACTGCTCATCAAGTTGACAGGGTTTAGCTTGTACAAAGCAGGGAAAGTTGTTAGAAAAAAAGGACTTGCAACCTGGATTCCTAGTTTTCTATTCCTAGCTCTTATGTGGAGTGGGGGATTTTTTGGGTTTGTTTTATTTTTACAGTTATCATCTAACCTCTTTGTTTTGTATTACCATGGTGCTTAGATGACCCAGAGATGCCACCGTCCAAAGGATGTGTAAATACAAGCTAAAAGATGGTCGATGCATAAAGAACTTAGTCTAAGTGCAAGGCAAGACAACAGCTGATGCAAACGCATGGAAATGCAGGGAGATGGTATTGCTGAGGGAGACCAGTGATGGTGCCAAAAGGTTTTGTAGATACCTTTGCAAGGAAGATTTTTCTTTTTTTTTAATTTTAAGGAGCCATTTGAAAGAGAACAGTTAAAATGGCATCACAAATGTTTATGGGGAACTTAACTTCTAAGTGTGACTGACAACTTGAGGAAGCATGCAAGTACAGGTTTTAAAATTTAAGGAGTAGACACTGGAAGGATGAAGGTGGGGATAGGTTATAATGGTCTTGAGAGTGGAGCGAAAACAAGTAACTTACAATTCATGAGACAGAGAAGACGAGGTCCATGGAATGACATAGAGTTGTGACGTGGACAAAATGACAGGTGAAAAGATTGGTCTTTGCAGCATCTGGAAAGGAGAAGCAGTACTTCACTGAGGGACTATGCATTGATTGCAGAACGTAAGATCACCTAATGAAATATAGTATACTGGAAAATCTTCCCTCCTGGTTTTTGCAAGCAGTGCCTATCTCACAGGATTGACTCAAATGCAGAGTCTTGCTTCTGGTCATGATGCTAATATTCAGTTTGTGCCAGTCCAGAAATGCTAAAGGATTAGTCTTAAGGTCTTTCAGCTGCTTGAATCTGTAGAGTGGTTGCAAAGATTTGAACTCAAGCAGTCTGCAAGTCGCATGTATAGATTTCATAAGTGTTAGGGGCTGGAAGGGACCTCATAAGATTGAGTCCAGCCCCCTGCCATAGGCAGGAAGTCTGCAGGGATCAAATGATCCCAGCAAGATAAGCATTTCACTCATCTTCTGAACACTCTGCTTCTATATACTCAATGTGTAGATGTTACTCAATTGTGACTGCATGTCATGAGTGTTTTGTTGAGAGTTGCAGTGCTGTTGGTTGTAGCCATTTTGGTCTAAGGACATAGGTAGACAAGATTCTTTGGGTAGATGTGATATATTAGACCAACTAAATAGTTGGAAAAAAGTTATTTGCAAGCTTTTGGGCACAAACACCCTTTGTCAGTCATTGGGAGACTTATTCAGTTATAAATAATAACTGAAGCAATAGTTCAAGAATCTTATGTAACTGCTTATAAAAAAAAAAAAAAAATACCTAAGACTGCTACAAGAAATTTTCTGCTTTAGGGCAGGTTAAAGGTTTTAATAACAAGCATACAGTATCATGTAATAACCTGCTCTGCTACTCTTAACGCAAAGCTTTTCAATTTTAAGTGTCTCAAGTTTATTTATGGAAACGGTTTGCCTTTGGCTCTTTCTTTCTCACATTGTTACAAGTGGTAAAAGTGTGTGTGTGTAACCATGTCTGTTTCCTCTAAACAAACTACAGTGGAATTGCAGGTCCAATTATTCATTTTTTAAAGAATGTTTGATACCATGTTCACTTCCAAATACTCCTCTAATGTTCATGTCAGTGAGGACAAGATCCTTCTTGTTTGCAGTCTTTGCTGTCAAGAAAGGTCTTTTTGTGGTAGAGTGAAGAAATTTCCCTGTTTCTAAATTCTGAATGACAAACATCTCTAGTGTTCCTATGTGACTTATTTAATGCCCACAATGTTTTTGTATATTACTTATATGAAAAAGCCAGAATCAGATTCATAGTAATACTAATTTTTTTTAGAGGTGCACCATTGTTTTGGTCCGTACTGTTTCGGCACCAATAAAAGGAAAATTGGTATTATTGGTAATCAGCTTTATTTGGCTGATAATGTCGCTGATTAATGGTGCATGCATGTGCGCAGCCTCAGCACGTTCATGGCTAGCTTGGTAGCTTGGTGAGCAGTGTCCATCTAATAATTATGTTGTGGAGAAGGGGCATGGTGGGGGGAGCAGATCAAGGCCCCTGTGGTGAGGGAGAGAGTGGGGCTGGGGCAGGCGCTGCCCAGCAGGGGTGGGGCAGCGCAGAGGACAGAGCCATGAGCAGCTCATTCAGTGGGTGTGGCTCCTACTGCTGTGTACACTCCTGGTGGAGGCATGGGGGGCATGCGGCCCCTGCATCTGTGCATGGGGTGAAGGTGGGCTGCCTCTTTGGGTGGTGCCAGGCTTTTCCCAGCGGTGAGGGGGTTGGGCCAGGCTGTGCTCAGGGTGGGCAGTGGCAGCTCTGGGAGAGGGGGCTACAGGGTGGGCTTCAGCTCCCCCTCCCAGTGTCGCTGCCCATCCTGAGGGCAGCCTGGCCCTACCCCCTGTCCGGAAGAGCCCAGCGCTGCCTCTGGCCCCAGCCCCCGGTGGCAGCCTGCACCCACCCTGCACACAGATCTGGGGGCATATGCCCCCCATGTCTCCCCTGGGGGTGCACTCCCCCATGTCCTCAGATGAACCACTTGTGGCTCCATCCTGTGCCCCACCCCAGCACCTGCCCCAGCCCCACTCCTTCTTCACCATGGGGGCCTTTATCTGTCCCCACACCCCTTCCCTCCCCTGCCTCTTCCCCCTGCAACAGGCTTACCAGCCAGATGCTGTTTTCCAAGTTGGTGGGCTGCATATTGGCAATCGGATCAGCATCAGCTGATATGGCTCATTAATAATCAGCCATTGGTATTGGCCCAAAAAATCTTTATTGGTGCACTTCTACTTATTTTTTTGAGGCTTTGTATTTTGACACCAGGTTTAGGCATGAGTTGCATTTAATGCTGTTTTGATGTAGGGTAGTATAAATATTTCCAATTTACACCTGGAAGCTATAGACCTACTATGCTACATAAAAAGCTGCCAGAGTCAGAATGATAATTCCATTAAACCATGTTGCCTTTCTGTATAGTGTAAAGCAGTAGTGAAAGAAAAGTTGTAAAACATAATGGTGTATCTGCACTTCAGTTGCTTGTTTGCCATTGTCTTGCACAGTAGGGACCTGGTTCAAGACTAAGACTCCTTGGCACTCCAATCACAAAACACAAATATTTATGTATTATTAATCTTTTTGCACCAGGATATGAATTATCGCCTACTGCAGCAGCAAACTTTACACGCAGAAACCTGGCTGACTACCTCCGGAGTCGGGTAAGTAAGACCTGAGGTGTGTTACCAATGACTGGAGTCACCAAGGCCGCTTTTAAAAAATGAATAATATGTTTGCCCTCTTCCACCCCACCCTTGTATATCCCCTCTTACTCCAGTGGCTTTTTTGGCAGTTTTTAAAATTTTCCTCCCCTCCCTTCCCATCTTCCCAGGCTCTCAGTTTAAACATGTGCATACACATGACTGAGTGCTTCAGGGCAGAAAACACAAAATAAAATAGCATGTGACTGGCAAACCTCATCTCAGTTTTTCTGAAATAAGCAAATGATTTTGAATATGGTTGGAGTTAGTGAAGCCATGTGTTGTGCACTGTGTATAGTGCAGAGCTGGTACCACTGAGGAAAGGGCAGGGGGCTGTGAAAGGGATGGAGAAGGAGTTTCTTTTTCTTTTTT